GGGACCGTGTGCCTGGGCAGGAGCGCGGGCCTGGACGCGACGGTGCAGACACAGAGGGGCCGGATGAGGACCACAGGAGGCGCTGACCGCGGACGGACTCGCTGAACCCGAGAGAGCAGCAGAAGGCGCTGGCTGAGACGAATCCCGCCGAGGCAGGGGACACAGGGAGGAGCCAGCAGTGCTGCGAAAAAATGGAGCGAGTGCCGGGGTTTCCAGAATCCCCACCCCAGCAGGACTGCAACAAACAGTGTTGAATCCGATGAGCGATAACTGTGGTCTCTCATTTCCGAGGGGTGTGCAGGGCAGGGAAAAACTAGGGACATCGGACAGCTTTTTCATCAACAAGGGCCCTGTAGCTAAGAGGCAAAGGAGAGGAAACCCCTGAAGGAGATCTCCCCGTGTCCTCGTGGACGGGACTCCCAGCAAACGATAACCTCCTCCCTAGCCACCTCCCTGACCTCCGGGCCACAAGTCACCTCAGGCAAGGTGAAGGTTCTCTTCTTCATACTGTATGGCGCTGTACTTTGTTTCCTGTTTTTGTGATTTAAAAAAATACACGTGGTTCAAGACACACTGACCACATTTACAGTTATCCTTATGGGGAAACTCGATTTGGTTCATCACCAGAATTGGGGAACGAATTAAGTTTGTGAACCCAGGCACCACTGTATTATAATTATCCACACAATTCTCACTTGTAGTTTGGGTTTAGTTCCCGGCCCTGTTGCATTCTACTGATATATCACATTTTTTCACTTTTCAGATTTTTCTGGTTTTCATCGCTTAAAATGTTTTTGTATGACTTTAGAATAAACTTGGCTAGTTCAAAAATATATGGGTAATTATATTGAGATTAAGCTAATTTAATAGAACAGAGAATTGACAAGATTTTCTAACTCAAGACCACACCACAGCTTTTCATTGGATTAAAGTTTCTTTTGTATCCTTGACAAGCACTTCTGTATGAGTTGGATAGTTATTAATTTTATTCCAAGTTATTGTTTTCTACTTTGAGGTCTTTTAAATTAGATCTTCCTGTTAATTTCTGAATAACTGACATTAGTGAATTCATATTTTCAAGTTTTTCAGTTTTCTTAGCTTTCCCAAGTACATAATAAATCATCTTCCAGTAATCGTTACTTCATTTCCTGATTTACAATTATTGTTCTAATTTCTTAAGTTCGGAGTTTTTTTTTTTTCAATTAAGTACAAGTAATGGTCCTTCTCTTGTTTCTGATGTTAATAGGGATACTTAAATAATTTCCAATTAGCTACATTATTAGTTTTATTTAATCAAGTTTGAAAAAATCCATGTTGCTATGCTTGTAAGAATTTAACCAAGAATGGATTTTAATCGCATTGAAATGGCCCTTTAGCCTCTCTGAAGATGCTCCAGAGTTGTCAAGAATGAATTATTTCCTACAGTGATCCCTCTTGCATTCTTAGTGTAAGATCCACTTGGGCATGTCCGTCGGTGCTTTTATTAGACTTTATTGATGACTGCTGTATTGATATTTCATAACTAACACAAAACCATACTTTCCTTCGTGCTTAATTAGATTTGGGTGTCTCTGTTACACTAACATTTTGAAACACATAAGTTTTCCTTTATTCGTAGGTCCTTGAAAATTTTAAAATGCATTGGAATTAGAATTCAATTCTGAAGCCCCATGGACTTGATGTGTGGAAATGGTGGTGGTGGTAGGGCTTGCTCTGGAATTTATTCTGGGCAATTGGTTTATTCAGGTTTTCTGTATCTTCTGGAATCAAGAGAAAACTTTCTTAAAACTAACCACTGTATTTGGCTGTAACAGTGTAGAACTGGACTTGCCACTTTTCATCAAATTCTTCCATTAGGATATTTATAATTCTATTTGCTTAATTTGATCTAAAACTTGCTTTATAGTTTTGTATTCAAAATCAACTTACAGGTTTATTTGTTTTTCCCTATTTCCTATCAAGTTTTTTTAAAGAGTAGTGTGTTGATTTTTCTTTTTTGGCCTTTTTGAGACAGGGTCTCATGATGTATTCAGGCTGACATCAAACTTGCAGCAATCCTCCTGATTCGGCCCCAGTGCTTGGATTATAGGTGTACCATCACACCAGTATACTGAATGCATTTATTTTTCTATTAGCATTGGCTGAGAAAAAGGAAATGAGGAATTAGACCTCATTGTCTGAAAACATTCTCCTTTTTTGCAACACAATAAAGGATGTCATAAAATGGGGTTTTGTTTTGTTTTTAATTCTCCTTAGACTGGATACTTGTGCTCAGCTGAAAGGATTTGTGAAGTCTTGCTAGGAAGGACAGTAGGGACTATCTTTCTCGTCTCCTTATGGTTTTCAGACTGACAGTGTTACAATGTTTGTACGCTCATGGTATAAAGGAGAAAATTAATCGGTGCAGGAGCCAGGAAAGGGTTAATCCTGGGAGTGAAGCATCTAAGCAGGGAGGAGAATAAAGCAACACTTCTCAATGAGGAATTTTCAGGCAGACAGCTTCCTCTTTAAAACAGGAGGAAGAGGGCACTATGGAAACTCGTGTTGGTCACTGCTGATGGCCTCTCGGGCATCTGGTTATAGATCAAGAATGAACCCAGTTGGTACAACTGTTTTTCTCTGGTAATATTTCACAGCTTGCATGGAACATGGCACAGGCAGTGCAAGAGACAGGAGTAACCCTGGCTGACATTCCAGGAAAAAAAGAGGTGTATATATGAAATTGTGCCTAAAATTTCATTGTTTTTAAAACATACATATGTTGATGAACATTTTCCAACATAAAAAGTGTGATCAAAAGTACTGTGAATGTTTAAATTTTTAAAAATTAAAGTAAAACATCGGCATTAGTTTCCCTCAAAACAGTCCCTCACTTCACACACCTACCTCACTGCTCTTGCCTTTTTGAAGCAGTTCCGAAGTTCGTTCTTTAGTCTTTATTTGCACTCTTGTGGCTCCCTCGATGTCCTGAATCCATTCAAACATTCACTTTTCATGGTCGTTTTGACAGTGGGGAAGAGCCAGAAGATGCTGGTGAACAAGCTGAAGACACACCGTGTTTTTATGACCCTGCCCTTTCCAACAGATGGCACTAGGCAGCAGCATTCACTGCCTTTTTGATCACTCCTCAGACACTCACGTAAGAGAACTACGACAATTTCAGAGAGTGACAAGAACAGTGGAATACATGGGCTGGGCAAGGGGATAACTTTTAGATGAATGGCAACGTGCCTTACGGTAATTTTTGTGATCATCCCTCGTGTATTTTGATCAGATTTAATACAAGATAGCATAAAGCATGTTTTTAAACAATCCTCTTCAAAACTGATACTTCCCCCAGTGTAAACACAACAGTAGAAGCTTCTTTAGGCAAGACAGTAGATATTATCTTCCTCATCCCTTTGCAGCAGAAATTTCTTCCTGGATTTTGGGGATTGGACCATCCACCTCTGTCTTCAGTTAGGAGGCTCACCAGACCCTCTCAGGGATGCTAGTAATTGTCTTTAAGTTTCCAAAATATGTGCTTATAGAAAATTAACATTATAGAAATATATAAAGCAGAGTGTGAAAATTCTCCCTCAGAAAGCCACTGTTAACAATTAGGTTTACTTCTGTCGTGTTTTGGGGCATACCTTATTTTACAAAAATGCTTATACAACTTTTACATGAGCAAAATCTGGACATCTTTCCCTGTTAGTTAATTTTCCTTACTTTTTTTTTTTTTTTTTTTTTTTTTTTGGTACTGGGGATCAAACTCGGACCTTGTGCTTGTGAAGCAAGCGGTGGAACCACTGAGCTAAATCCCTGGCCCTTGATAGTTTCTTTCTTTTTATTTTTTTTTAAAGTTCCTTATTCTTAACACAAAGAAATAAAAAGAAATAAATTGAAGGGCTATAATCTATTAACCTAGTTCTTTACTGATAAAACACTGGGTCAGCATTAATTATTAAGGAGTAAAAATCCTCTTCCTTATGTACACTTATCAGATCTTGTTTGGCAGTTTCCTGTAAATGAATTTAGTAGACCTAAGTATTCTAGAATTTTCAACAAATCCTGGAAAACTACATTCCTGAAGACTGTAACAATTATACTCCCATATATTACATGAAGAATGGGATATGTATAATCTGAATGGTCTGTTCAAAACCATGCTGCAATTTAACTTGGAAACTTAAAAAAATTGATTATTTATATATTTGTGCTGATTACAGGTGAAATTTGATGCCTCTTGCCTGGTGGGAATTCTGGGTCCCAAAGGCAGGATTCATAAAATTCTCATTTATCAGGCAGCAGGGGAATTAGGAACCTTTTCTTTTTTAACAAAATCAGCCTAAGACTCTAGCACTTTCTACAGCTTTAAACAGCTCTGCTGTTACCTCCAAGTTTGTGTAACGGTATTGGGACCCTACTGCTTGAGGGATAAAATCCAATCTCAGAATATGAACTTCCCCCAGCACAATCCAGCTTTGCTCCCTACTACTCTAGAATACAACACTCCTATCTTCATGTCTGGTTTCGTCTACTTTATGCTTCATCTCAGAATACTCTTTTCCTGGGGTCAGAGGTGCATCTCAGAACCTTTGCCCAGCATGCAGGAGGAAGGTTTTGGTTCTCCGCATGGCAAAAAGCAACCCTTTTCCTTCTCTACCCTCTGACTTCCCAGGGACTTCTCAAATGTCTCTTCCCAAAGAAATCTTCCACAACCCTCCCCAGAAACAGCAGTCTTTCCCTCTGCCTCCCGGTAGCGCACTTGCTCCCCACTGACCGTGATTCTGTAATAAGCCACCTTAACGAGAAGCCGTGGACAGACATCTCACTTCTCTTCCTGAACAGTGTCTAGTGCAGGACTTTGCTAGAATGCTTTCTGGAATAAACATATGTAAGTTAAATTAATCCTTCAAGTCTTTTAATCCCAAATTATCAGTCACAGATATTAGTTTTTAAAGAATGGTAAAAATACCCGTTCCCCTCAAAATATGTCCTAATAATAGTTCTGTGCATTTTTAAAGGGGGATTTTCTAATAAAACTGTCAAAATACTGTCTTTAGTTCTGTTCAATAAACCTGCATACATGTGACATTTGCATCTTACTTTCTAGGTCACAAATTGTTTATTTTAGAAATAAAAAAACATGGGATGGGGAAGGGCCACAGGGGACAGTTTACTGTAAAATATGAAGCAGCAATAGTTCCAGAAATGAGTTTCTCTTTATATTCCCAGCCAGAGCACAAAATGACTGGATTTCATCAATGGCAAGCTTAAAAAAAAAAAAAAAAAAAAAAAAAAACACCAAGG